CTATCTATAATATCTATATCTATATCTATATCTATATCTCTGTGTGTGGTGTGTGTGTGTGTGTGTGTGTGTGTGTGTGTGTGTGTGTGTGTGTGTGTGTGTGTTGCTTGTGTATATACAAACACACACACACACACACACAGACTACTACTGTTTCAACAAACACCTATAAAAAACGAGCAATATCATACATTTTTCAGCCAAAGTGAAATGGCCAGAGATGTATTTTTTTTGGCTTCATCTTGTAATGCGAAACAGACCTTACAACAACAATTGGGAAAAATGGTAAAGGAAGAAATGACTATATCACAAGCAATAGAGATAACACTACGAATAAGAATATAATAAAGGAAATAGACAGAGATAGAGAAAAAAATCAAATAAATCCACAATGCATATCGCATGAAGTAAATTCTCTCCGTCTCTTCTTTGAACTCAAATTTAGAACAAAGGAATTCCGAGCGAGAGAGCGAGAGAGAGAGAGAGAGAGAGAGAGAGAGAGAGAGAGAGAGAGAGAGAGAGAGAGAAGTGAAGGAGAGATGAGGAGAGAGAGAGAGAGAGAGTGAGAGAGAGAATTTGGTTTCAGTAACGATGATATACAAGCTTTCTCTAGCGAATTCTTGAAGCTATCACAAACCCATAGTTAATTCATGCTATATGTAACTCCATTTTTATACAACCACCTATATTATTCTCACATTCCATTATTCTACTCCATGGCTTCATGGTGTTATAAAGAGTGTAATATGGTGTATTTACAATGTATATATAGTGTGATCATACTGTAACTTTATTGTTTTACATCTTCCTACATTATTTCTTATACTTATACTTTGTGTTAGTATTTTTCCCTCAGATTCAAGCACCTCTTATTTGTCTCCCTCTGCATCGTTCCTTTCCCAGGTATTCTTTTATTCCCACGTGCCTTCTTCATCTCCTTCGTCATATCTCCTTTTCTTGCTAGTTCTTCCTCCTCTTTCAGTCCCTCTTTTGCCCTCTCGCCCCTACTGCATTCTCCGGTCATTTTCCTTGATGCTTCCTTTTCCCTTCTTTCTCCCTTGATGTCCCTCTCTGTCTCTCCTTTTCTTTTCTTCCTTCAGTGAATACGATTATTTCCCCTGTTAAATTAATGTCATTATGGTGAATCACGGAGTTATGATGCGATTTAGGTAATTCGGTTTGTTATGGCAATTACTGCTAATTTACCTGGTTATTATTGTTTGGATCCTTTCGTCTTGTTTATTTCTCTCTCTCTCTCTCTGTACCTCATATATATCTTATGACTCTCTCTCTCTCTCTCTCTCTCTTTCTCCTCACTCTCTCTATATAATATTATTAATATATATATTATATATATATATATTTAATATATTCATAACACATACACACACACACACACACACTATGATTATATTATATATATATATATATATATAATATATATATATAATATAATATATTATTATAATATCACGGTCATGTTGTGCGGTTGTCTATATCACCTGGAACAAAAGCTCTTTACAGCGCTGAAACACTTTACCAATGCCTGCCTTTATTTCTGTAAATTCCTAGTCATTTCGCTTCGCTGCAAACCGGACCGCCTCGCTGGCATTAGACGAAACGGGATTTACAGTAAGCCTATGATATGAATTCTTGGACCTGATTTTACGTTAAGTGAATAGCAATCAGGCGAACTCGTTTAAGGCCAAGACAGGATGTGCTTAAACGTTACCTCGCCTTGTTTAAAAGGAATTCAGACTTTGGTATATGTATAATATATACATCTATCTAATCTATCTACTATCTCATCTCTCTCAATCTCATCTCTCTCTACTCTACTCACTTCTTCTCATATAGATCTTTCTCTCTCTCAGTCTCTCACTCCTCTCTATATATATATTAATATTAACTATATATATATAATTATAAATTTAAATTAAATATTAAAATCTGTGTGTGTGGTGTGTGTTGTGTGTGTGTGTGTGGTGTGATGTGTGTGTGTTGATGTGTGTGTGGTGGTGTGTTGTGGATGTGTGTGTGTGTGTGTTGTGTGTTTGTGTATATACAAACCACACAACACCACACAGAATCTATAATACTGTTATTCAACAAACACCTAAAAATAACGAGAATATCATCATTTTTCCGACAAGTGAAAATGGCCAGCAAGTATAGTATTTTTTTTTGGCTTCAGCTTGTTAATGGAGAAACAATCACATTACAAACAACAATGCGAAAAATTGGTAAAAGGAAGAAATTGCTATATTACAAAAACAATAGAATAACGCTACGATAAGAAATAATAATAAAGGAAGATAAGAGCAGAGATAAATAAAAACAAAAAAAAAATCAATAAATCCGACAAGCTGTATTATAGCAAGAATGTAAAATAAAATTAACTCCGTCCTCTTTTTGAACCTACAAATTAGAAACAAAAAGAATTACCGGAGAGAGAGAGAGATGAGAGAGAGAGAGAGAAGGAGAGATGAAAGAGAGGAGAGAGAGAGAGAGGAGAGAGAGAGAGAGAGAGAGACAAGAGAGAGAGAAGAGAGAGAGAAAGAGAGAGAGAAAGAGGAGAGTAGAAGAGATAAGAGAGAGAGATAGAGAGAGAAGATAGAGAAGAGACGAGAGACAGACAAAAGAGAATTATGAATTCGAGAGATAGAGAGAGAGAGAGAGAGAGAGAGAGAGAGAGAGAGAGAGAGAGAGAGAGAGAGAGAGAATTTGGTTTTCAGTAACGATGATAATACAAGCTTTCTCTAGCGAATTCTTGAAGCTATCATACAAACCCAATAGTTAATTCATGCTATATGTACACAGCTCCATTTTTATACATAACACACTATATATTCTCAACATTCCATTATTCTAACTACATGGCTTCCATAGTGTTATAAAGAGTGTAATATGGTGTAATTTTACAGCATATATATGTGTGATATTAAAAGTGTAATATGGTGTACTTATAGTGTTTATATAGTTACATAGTGTGATAATACTGTAACTATTGTTCTGCATCTTCCTGCATTATTCTTATACTTAAATTTGTATTGCTGAGTTTTTTCCCTCAGATTCAAAGCACTCGTATTTGTCTCCCTCTGCATCGTTCCTTTCCCAGGTATTCTGTTATTCCCCACGTGCCTTCTTACATCTCCTCGTACATATCTCCTTTTCTTGCTATTCTTTCTACCTCTTTCAGTATCCCTTCTATGCCCTCTCGCGCCACTGCAATAATTCTCCGGTCTGATTTTGTCCTTGGATGCTGTCTCTGTTTGTTCGCTTCTTTCTCCTCGTGATGTGTCTCGTTCTTGGTTCGCTCCTGTGTTTCGTTTGTTTCGTTGCCTTAGATTACGATTATTGATTTTCCGGTTAATTATTGGTTCATGTTAGGGTTGGATTCTACGGGAGATTGTTGTATGCTGAATGTCGATGTTGTGGTAGTAGTTGGTGTCTGGTTGTTTATGGCGAGATTAACTGCGTTATTTACGCTGGTGTGTTGTTGATTCATTGGTTTGGGATTTCTGTGCCTGTCGTTGGTTTAGTTTTCGCTCTGTAATCGTTGAGCTTTGTTGATGTGGTGTGGCTTTATGTAAAGATGTAAATATAGGGAGATAAATTGGTTTATATGATCAGGCAAGAGAGATGATGACGAATTATAAGAGTAGGATCGATAGTAAGCCAGCAAATATTACAGGAAAAAAAAGAAAAAAAAGTGTACAATAGGAAATGGAAGAGAAAAAAAAGGAAAAGAGAGAAGCAATTGGCGAAGAGGGAAAAAGAATGATATAAGATTAATAAAAAAGAAAAAAGTGCTCTCGATCTTCCGTCCTGATAAGATAACCAATAGATTTAGTCTCTCATCCTTTTCAATCCTCATTTTCTGACCGTTGCGGCTGCAGTCATTTCCAAATTCACTTCTTTGATATGTCTTATATCTTCAGCTCGTCATATCTTTAATTCTCACTATTAGTATTAAATGACCCCAACAGCTGTAATCACTCCACCATTACACACTTCTTGCAGTTTTTGTAACCTCATCAACTAATTTTCTTCTCATACAAGCTACATGTATTTTGTAACCTCATTAAATAATTTCCCTCGTACCTTCAGCCTCTCATTATTACCATGAAACCATTTCCACCTCATATATGGGTTACGTAATCTTTTGTAATCACGCATTATTTCCACCTCATACAACCTACCTGTGTTTCGTAATCTCGTTAAATAATTTCCCTTCGTACGCCTTCTATTGACACAGCGTTCGCCCGTCGAGGTTCGCCAAGGGGATTCGGCGAGGCTTCAGGCGAGCGAAGGAAGCCAAAGAAGCCTCTGGGAGTTGGAAAGGGAAACTGGGTCATGCTTCAGGCGAGCGAAGGAAGCCAAAGAAGCCCCTGGGAGTTGGAAAGGAGACTGGGTCATGCTTCAGGCGAGCGAAGGAAGCCAAAGAAGCCTCTGGGAGTTGGAAAGGGAGACTGGGTCATGCTTCAGGCGAGCGAAGGAAGCCAAAGAAGCCCCTGGGAGTTGGAAAGGGAGACTGGGTCATGCTTCAGGCGAGCGAAGGAAGCCAAGAAGCCCCTGGGAGTTGGAGAGGGAGACTGGGGTCATGCTTCAGGCGAGCGAAGGAAGCCAAAGAAGCCCTGGGAGTTGGAGAGGAGACTGGGTCATGCTTCAGGCGAGCGAAGGAAGCCAAAGAAGCCCCTGGGAGTTGGAAAGGGAGACTGGGTCATGCTTCAGGCGAGCGAAGGAAGCCAAAGAAGCCCCTGGGAGTTGGAAGGGAGACTGGGTCATGCTTCAGGCGAGCGAAGGAAGCCAAAGAAGACCCTGGGAGTTGGAGAGGGATACTGGGTCATGCTTCTAGAGCGAGCGAAGGAAGCCAAAGAAGCCCACCT